GGTGACCAGTTGTGAACTCTAATGACCAGTTGTGTATTTCTTTTTCACTTTCACAGATTGATAATTTGGTCAAAGCAAATGATGATTGTCAGAGTTTTGTCCACTTTAATCAGATACAGCATATGTTATACTGGAAACAATAATACCCTGTTGTTTGGCACGAATGTGTGTTTAGATTTTTAATTCCTTTAAACTATGTGTCGCTGTTTTATTGTAAAAGAAGAACTTGAGCTTGCTAATAAAATATATATATATATTGCTTTTTTTAGATTTCACTTATGCAGGAGTCTAAAGACCCATTGGATTTCACTGATATTGAGCCAGTAAATCAGGAGCTGGATGCCCAAGAAGAGGTGAGATAATGGATTCAACATCTCCTTTATATTAATATATACTAGGAATGCACCAAAATTTCATCCACCAAAACATATCGTCCGAAAAGTGCACTTTTGGCAAAATGCCGAAAGTGCCATCTTTTGACCGAAATAGCAGTGCATCCCTGGTTGCTCTCCTCCCCGCTGGGCGCTGCTCTGTGTACCCTCTGACACAGCACAGCATCCAACAGGAAGGAGAGAATCTGTCACAGGAGGCCGAGTGGTGCGGGGGAGTAGAGCGATATTAGCGGCCGTCGTTTCTCCTCCCGCACCGCTCAGCTTCCTGTGACAGATCAGGAGAGCGGTGGTGTGGAGACATCTGACAGCTGTCACCAGAGGCTGAGCTCTCCTCCTGCACCGCCCCGCTCAGCCTCCTGTGGCAGATCAGGAGAGAGAGGGTGGGCCGGTGGTGCGGGGAGGAGTCAGCTGTCAGAGGAGCTCGAGCTCTCCTCCCCGCACAGCTTGCTAAGCCTCCTGTGACAGCGTGTCAGGATGGAGAGCGGGTACAAATAGTCAGTGATCAGTGAGTGTTTGTAAATAATTGATGACATAGTATGTTTACTGTGTCCCCAATTATGAATGAATGGGAAGTGATCTACAAATAAATATAGTAGTAAATACTATCTCCACAAATTAGGAATGAACAGGAACACTCAGTATAGAGGATTCCTGTTCATTGATAACAGGGGCTGCAGAAGAAGAGATTTAGGACTTTGTGTTCTCAGTCTCTTTTTCTATTTTAAAAGGGAAATATCAGGGGCTTGTTTAGACCCCTGATATTTCCCTTTCAAAATAGAAAAAGAGTTTGAGGACACAAAGTCCTCAATCTCTTTTTCTGCAGCCCCTGTTATCAATGAACAGGAACACTTATAGAGGATTTCTGTTCATTGATAACAGGGGCTGCAGAAGAAGAGATTTAGGACTTTGTGTTCTCAGTCTCTTTTTCTATTTTAAAAGGGAAATATCAGGGGTTTGTTTAGACCCCTAATATTTCCCAAAGAAAAAAACATTTTTGGTTTCGGCCTGGATTTTTTTGTATTTTCGGTTTCAATTCGGTTTCGAAAATTTAATTTTGGTGCACCTCTAATATATACAATATATCTATATTCTCTTTGGTCAACAACAAATGCACATCATTTTGCCTGTGGCAGAATTCAGCAGTAAACCTTAAACATTTTGCTGCCAAAGCTGTTTTTGCATTTTTTTGCAGGCATGTTAAAACACACATTTTAGGCCCCAAGATAAGTTAAAACCCCCAGAATTATATATTTTGTGAAAGCAGAGACCCTGGAGAATACAATGGTGGCATTGTAATTTTTGTAAAACTGTTTATCAAACACAAATTTTTAGTATACAATGCATTCAAATGAATTTCATGCACATATACCCAATATAATACACTATTTTTAAATAAAATATATAGATGAGGTTGTGTCGCGTAAATAGGTGCTAAACATGTCAAGCTTTAAAATTGCATGTGCCTGTGAAAAGGTAACAAGCGTCCGTGACCAAAATTGTCCATAAGCAACACTTTAAAACTCTTTACAGGTCATCAGTTTATAGTTAACCATGAATAATGATCTGTTTTTGTGCACAGACACACGCAACATATGCGTTTAAGTATGTAGGTGTGTACTGTATGTGTGGGCAGGGGCTTTAGAAATGTTTTTCTTTTTTTACTTTTTAAACTTTCTTTTTTTACTTAACCTTATTGCTATCACATAAAGATCTAATATCCCACAGCTTCTGGAGTCCGAGGAAGTGCTCACTTCCATCACAAAGCCAGCAGTCAGCTTGTGTAGGCTGAACACAGTCCTGGCTGCCATAGCACCTTAAATTGGAGGCAGCAATTGGAGGCAGCAAAAGGGTTAAGGGTGGATTATATATGAAAAAGGCACTAACAAGACAGCTTCTTGTTGCCTATAGCAACCAGAATGACTGCTATGGGGATATTTTTTTTGTGTGAGCGCCATGATCATTAACTCACTAACTTTTCCTGCATGAGCGCCATGATCATTAATTCACTAACACATTTGTTAGTTAATATTTCATAGCACATTTGCTGACTGAACATTCACTGGCAGGCCATGTTTTTCTTGCTGACTGGCTTACATGCTGTATTTATAATGGTGAATTTGACAGCTAACAAATTTAACCTACTAAAGCGGCTTAAATTCCAGGGTCTGGAATATACTGGCCAGAGCTTTTAATAATGCTAAAACTTGTAGCCCTGAGAGGATTAATTGTAATATCCTAATGAAAATAATAATAAAAAAACATAAAATGCAAAAAAATAAATAAATGCATCACCCCCCTAACACTACCATCTTGGGACACCAGTGAGTGAGTATCCTTATGGCATGGAGGGCAGCAACTGTATGTCCATACTGATAACAATCCACCATGATCTTGACAGATACTTTGAGAGGGATCTCCAGAATAAGGAGGTACCCCTCTCAAAGCACCAGACCTCATGTTGATGGGCCTGGGCCCCCAGAACCTCTGTCCTCAGGCGAGGGTTTGACCTCTTGAGATCGCCACCTCTGTCCAGTGCACAGGAGAGCTTTAAAGGAGAACTATGGGGTCAGTGTTTTTCCCCATAGTTCTCCTTGGGGTAACGGGAGGACACAAACTAGCGTCCTCCCGTTACCCTAAGCTCAGTATACCGCGAGCTACAGCTTGCGGTATACTGAGACGCCGCACCTGGAGCGGATCCCGACTTAGATGACGGTATCCGCCCAGCTGCGTGAGTGACAGCTGGCTCTGCCTATCTAGAGGCAGAGCCAGCTGTACCCGCCCCCTCCCCCGTCTGTCAGCGCTGGCAGATCGGAGCGGGGAGAGGGGAATCCAGCCCCTCCCCCTGTCAGGCAGAGAGCCGTGACAGGATCGAGAGGTGAGGGAACCCGGTATGTGTTCTCTCACCTCCCGATCTACTGAGCCGACCTGTGACAGTCTCATTGTCACAGGTCGGCTTAGAACTATGAGGTGAGTGGAAATCACTCATGTCATAGTTCTCCTTTAAAGCTACATCAGAATACACTAAAATTGACTTCCTGTATGTGCAGTGTGTCATGGATATGCGAACCACAAAAATAATTGACACAAAACTGCAAACCATTGGCATGTAATAGAGGATTTATATATTTAAAGTGGGCCTTGTACCAAAAGCTCAAGGTTCACATATTTACTTTGACCTATCCTTCCTCCCAAGCTAAAAAAGCTGTAATAAATAAAAACAAACTGTAAGGAAAAAAGTTATTAAATACACTTCCCTTATCTCTGGCTCGTACCAATGGTGCCTAGGTCAGGGTGACATCATGCTCCTTCCAACAAGATGCCAGGGAGCGCTAAGTAGCCCAGACCTTATGATACTGTATCTTGTTGGAAGGAGTGTGGCATAACCCCCTGCAGTACAGAAGCTGGGGGGTATGGCAAATACATTTATTTACTTTTTTTCTTACAGTTTCTTGTTTTGCAATGTTTTAACATGGGAGTGGGGTGTAAATGTAATAAGGGGACCTTGCTTGTAGTGCATATGAATAAAATGTGTATTTAGCTGTTTGCCTGAAGTCCTTTTTAAAGTGATACTAAACTCAGCAGTTAAATCTTAAAAATACATTCACGTACCTTAACTTTTAACAAAAATGTATCCTATTTAGCTATCACTCGGGCTGTAGACCCTCAAATCATCTCTGAATTGGTGCTGACACTATACTTTCTTCTGGAGGGTGGCTACTTTGTTCCCCATGGTTGGATGTAAAGGAACCACCTCTCCAAGCTCACTCCTGTAATGGACTACGATCTCACATTTAGTTTACTAATTTGTATTGAAAATATAGTCTATCACGGGAGTGAGCTACTTTACAACCCACACCATGGGGAACAAAAGTAGCCACCCTCCAGAAGGAAGGACAGTGTCAGCACCAATGCAGACATGATTTGAGGATCTACAGCCAAGTGATACACAAATAAAATACACAAATGTTAATAGTTAAAGTATCTTAATGTATTTCTAAGGTTTAACTCCTGAGTTTAGTGTCACTTTAAATAGAGCTATCGTGTTTATAATGTTAATCCAAATTAGATATAGAGGCACCCATGGGTCTTGTAGCAGAGAGAAGTCAAAGCATCAGCGTTTTAATGTCAACGTTTAAATGAAGCTCAGTCCATCTTCTCAGTCTTGAGAAAGATAGACTGAACTCCATCAAAACCTTGACAATAAAATGCTGATGCGTTGATTCCTCTCTGCTACAAGATCCATGAATGCCTCTATATCTAATTTGGATTTGTATGGATATTTTTGTGGATGAGCACCCAGGCATTTACCTTACCGGTAGAGTGTGGTGGCTACCTCTGGAATTGAATATTTATAATGTTAGATGGTTGCAAATGATTACAAGTTGAAGCGAGAGAATACTGCATTGGCACTTAGGAATACAAAAATAATAAACCCACTGTGTTGTATGTTTTTGTAGGCTCTCAGAAGACTTGCATCATGAACAAAATCCTGGATCTTCTATCTCTGTGGGAGCAGTATTTGCCTTCTTGTATTTTCCTGAACTTCGTCTGGAACTCAGTTTGCCAGTTAATTACTGATTTCAGTGTACAAACATTTTGCTGCTCCCCATAGATTGTAATGTTGTGGTAATGGGTGTGGTATTGTATATGGTAGTATTTAATTCAACCTACATCTAAGCTTACAAATGACAGATAAGTGATGCAAACCAAATCCATGCATATTCCTTAACACCACCATCATTCCGATGAGAATGTGCTTTGATCAGGTACATAGAACGTGACGTGCAATATCCCATAGCTGGGAAGGAATATATCAATAACGATCTGTTAAGAAACATATCAATATTATATCTTTATCGTTTGGTAAAAACTGTATGTTTAGCATTTTTGCACGGATGTTTATGACTAAGATATACAGGTATACATATATTATTATTAGACAGGATTTATTTAGCGCCAACAGTTTGTGCAGCACTTTGCAATATAAGGAGGACATTGCAGTTACAATATAAATCAAGACAAGATTGTAAAGAGGTCCCTTCCCTATATAT